CCCCAAAACCCCAAAACCCCAAAACCCCAATACTCTTAAATAGCCTTCTATGGTAGTTAGTTAGAAATATGAATCCTAATAGAATTAAATCGTGTTAATGAGTAGTTATTTAATAGATAAATGAAGCGGATTTCGTAAACTGCCTATTAAATATTTTGATTAGAAAACAATACTCCTTCTCTTTCATCTGTTAATTATTGAGTTAGGATAATGTGGATACTGACCAGTTTTAGAGTTTCAGCTCTCAACATCACTTCTAACAAGGTCATCGTCTGAGCAGGCATCTTGATCTTGCTATCCCCCGTTGTGCTAATGATAGAATAATGATTTTTTCCTCCCCATTGGATAATCATAAGCTTGAATTTGATTGCTAGAATGGCTTCTTCTCAATTGGTGATTTGGATCTTGATACTGCTATATTGGAATTTAAACTACTCCGTTTGATGAATTCCTTTACATTGGCAACTAATGACCATTATTTTGAATTAATCCATAAACTATGTTTTAGCCTGGAGCAGCACCATTAATATTTTGTAGGAGATCTTGCCCCTGAGGAAGTTCAGAGAATGAGTGTGAACTCTAAAGTTGGAATCTTTACTATTAGCCTGGGAAGAAGAAGCTGCCTCTACCATTATAGACTGGCTGAGCACTCTTATTTGATGTATCACTCTTTACAGACTCGTTGTCAGATAGGACTATAGAATAATTAACCAAATTATGATTTTCAGGATAATCTTACATTTAGGACTCTAGCTTTTATCTGTCCAGGATGTAACACTAGAGTTCAGACTTTAACACTCAAGAGTTGCTTAAATCAAGTTTCTTTTGTAGGGAGATATGCTTGAAAAGGTATTTGGCTACTAACTGTTCAAAGAATTCAAAGCAAGCAGTAGATCATTCATCTTGATATTCTATGTGCTTAATGCCTAGACACCAGTAAACTACCCCAAGCCAAGATTATTCATTAGTTGCTGTTGTTAGACATACGTTGAATCTTACATTTGTTGTTGTTGTCCAGAATGCTATTATTGCATAACACCTCTACTATTAAGTCCATGAATTAAGCCATTATTGCCCAATCCATTTTAATTCATTGCGCTTTGATTATTTTATTGATATATCTGGTTCAAGAGAATTTGTTGGATATTTGGTTAGAGATTTTGAATGGATGGTGATTATAAATGCTAGGTTTAAATATGGTTGGCTTGAATTTCTGGAGTCTATGCTGTTGGTGGTGTCATCTTAGGGCTTGTATATTAAGGAATCGGCTTAAAGAAGCCTTCAGGGATATTAAGCTACTATTACTAGGCCTAACCTAAAAGGGCCTAATTACTAGCAGGTGAGTTGCTTTAGAAACTCTGTAGTTTCTCAGTGTTTTACTACTACAGGTTATTAATAGAGGGTGCTGTTCCTGTTTTATTAGTGTTAATAAGCTAAGAAACTTGATTCATGCTAGGTAGCCTAATCTCCTCTTATTTTAGCGATTCTTACTCTTAAATCTAACCATTATAATTTTGTTATGACAGGATCTGCTATTATACTTGATATTGCTGTTATTACTAATGCTACTGATGGACTGATATTTACTACTGAAGGTATTGCTGTTATTGTAAAATATGCTATTGCTATAAGATTGCCTGCAATAATTGAGATTAGTCAATAAAATTTATTTGCTATTGTGAAGTATTAACCCCATTACTCTAGTTCAGCATGTTACTAGATCCATTACTTTAATTCTAATCACACTCATCCTCCCCAAACATTTTTTCCTGCATATTGGAAAATTAAATGAATTATGCCAGATTATTGATATTTTATCTGTTAGTGCTATCCAAACCATTACTATCCTGCCTAAGCTTAACCAAATACTAATCAATTTTCTCCAATGTAATATTGTAACTCCTCAACTTATTAATCAAGTATTTATCATTAGATCCTACATTCTAGAACGCTAGGTTCGTATCCCTACCTTTAAATTCTTCTATCACACTTTATTATCTCTCATAATCAATTTATTTCTACAAAAGACCCCTTAGATATGAGATTAGATATATTGAGTGCTATCTCGCTTGTGGAGATAACTTTTAATCTAGAGTCACTACATCTTTACTTATTCTGGATATATTTTTTCTCAAACTAGAATAAAAATGATTTTTTATCGCATTATCTGTCCTATAAAAAAATGTTAGCATGTTTGAATGGTGAGATTTTTATATAATGTATAAAACCATACCTTCCTTTGATAACTTTAGATATTTCTGCCCATCTGTTTCCAAGAGTCTAATGAGCTTAAATAAACTACATCTCTTCGTAATCAGACCACTACTTTTTATTTATGGCTGGATCAAGATGATTATGCCATCTGCAAATGGATTACAATAGATATATTACCTTTCTCGGCAAATCTTTGGGTTTCTGTTTTATGTGTTGAATTTTTGGTTTACCAATTCAGATATTAACCCCCATTTTTTTATACCGTGCTGCTGAACTATTTGGATCATATACTAATCCTCCTATTTAAATAGTTTAGCATCTTCTTTATAAAACATCATCATTCCATAATTATGCAGCCAGGAATTAATGATTATTGCCTTCCGATACTTACCTCAGGAGAAAAGGGTGTTTTATCATCTTTATGCTTTCTCCTATTTGAGTAAAGCGAGGCGCTATTCTCATTATGTCCATGCGCTGATCCTCCTAAGCCGCGCCCTTGGTTAGGGTCTACCAACTCGTGGGATAAATCATCTAAGATTATGTTATGGTCTTCTAAATTTCCTCTCATCGCAGAATGTTTTTAATGGAAAGTATTAAATTAATTAAAATTGACAAACTCTACAAAGTTTCTTCTCAAATACCCTTAAGATTAATTCAATATTAACTCTCACCATTCTTTATTTTCTCAAAGATGATAATCTCGGGGTTTTGGGGTTTTGGGGTTTTGGGG